TCCCAGGTGGGGTCAGGTACTTATTCGCGTCCTTTGCGCCGCGACCGCAGCCCATCAAACTCGCCCAGCCCCATAAAAGGTCGGGTCGTCAGCTCAGCGGGAGCCTGCGCCTGCGCCATCCGAGGACCGATGGGAACTCCCCAGGCTCCCGCGAGCGGGGTTGGGTGGTCCTTGTGGGCGGCGGGAACGCGTAGGTTTTACGATTTTAGCGCGCCAGACCACGCTTCCCGCAGGCTACTGCGCTCAGGCCAAAGAAGCCTGGGATTACACTTCCCGAAGGCCGCGGGGGCAACCTGGACTTCAGCCTTACCCCCCCCGCCCCCCCACTGTTTCGTGATTGTTGGCGCGGCAGAAAACCCACACCCGGCCTCGTGGAGAGAGTTCTGCAGAGTCAGACCCGCCCACAGGGCAACGTGGACCTCAGTGAAGGGAAACAGTGAGTGTGGGGCGTGCGGGGAGCGGCGAGGGGTCGGGCCGAGGCTGCCCGCATCCCCGGCGTGCGTGAGCCGGAACAGCTGGGGGCGGGAGGGGGACTGTGTGGTTTGGCCCAGGGGTGTGCGCCCGCCAAGGCTAGGAGGGGTATCATTGTGACCCGTGTTCCAGGTTCCTGCGGCCCCTCTCCCCTCGCAGCCATGTGGTCTGTCCTAGACTGGAGGCCCCCAGAGGGAGGTCGGTTAGGGAGCCCCTGAATGAAGCTTCCCAGCAGGAGCCGCCGGAAAGCCCGGAGCTGATCTGGAGATGGGAATTTAATTATTTTATTTTATTTTTTAATTTTTTAAATATTTTTGAGAGAGAGAGAGAGAGAGAGAGACAGCGTGAGCAGGAGAGGGGCAGAGAGAGAGAGAGAGGGAGACACAGAACTCGAAGCAGGCTCCAGGCTCTGCACTGTCAGCACAGAGCCCCATGCGGTGGCTGGAACTGATGAACCAGGAGATGTGCCGAAATCCGAAGTCGGAGGCTTAACCGACTGAGCCACCCAGGCGGCCCAAGAAAAATAGCTGAGATATGGGAGCAACTCAAGCATCCATCAATAGATGAATGGATAAAGAAATTGAAGTGTATATATACAATGGAGTAGTATTCATTCATAAAAAAAAAATAAAATCTTGCCGTTTGTGATAACATGGATGGACCTAGAGATGATTATGCTAAGTAAAATAAGTCAGAGAAAAACAAATACCATGTGATTTCACTTGTATGTTGAATATAAAAACAAGACAACAAGCAAACAAAACAGAAAGACTCAAAAATAACAGAGAACAAACAAGTGATTGACTGGCAGGGGGTGGGGTGAGGGGAGGATTGGTGACAGACATCAAAAGGTACAAACCTCCAGTCAAGTCACAGAGATGTGAAGTACAGCATAGGAAATATACGCAATAATATTCTAATAACTTTGGTGGCAGGTGATAACCAGACTTATTGGGGTGATTGTTTCATAATGTGTATAAATGTCAAGTCACCGTGTTGTTTATGTGAAACTGACATTACATGTCGACCACACTTCAATTACAAAAAAAAATTCCAACCAAAAAAAAAAAAAAAGAATGTAGGAGTGTCAGGAGGAGAATCTGTTCAAAGCAGAACTGCGTAGCCGGATATTAGCTCCAGATCAGCGTCCCCAGAATGAAGGCCTAGCCAGAAAGCGTCCTGCTGAAGGTCTAACTCTGTGTTCTAGAAGAAGTGCTGTTGGCTCGGCATCCAGCTGTGTGCCGCTTGGTTCACTGGGGTTCGGCTTTATCCAGAATCCCTCTGTTTCCAAAATTTTATGTGAGGGTGGTTGTAGCATAACGTGGAAGCTGAAATGGAGGGACAAGAAGGCTTACTGGCTGAAGCTATTGGGAACCCTAAAACCTCTTTTTCTTCTCTCAGCTCTGGGTTTTCTAGAATTTGAACTTCTCTACTAGAGGAATCCCCAGGAAGACTGATCGGTTCTTACATTTCTAAAAGCATAGCCGTTTAAGTTGTTACTCCTTGAAATACTGGGAGTTTTACACTACGTAGATATTTTCTTTTCTTTTTAAAAAAATTTTTGGGGGCGCCTGGGTGGCGCAGTCGGTTAAGCGTCCGACTTCAGCCAGGTCACGATCTCGCGGTCCGTGAGTTCGAGCCCCGCGTCGGGCTCTGGGCTGATGGCTCAGAGCCTGGAGCCTGTTTCCGATTCTGTGTCTCCCTCTCTCTCTGCCCCTCGCCCGTTCATGCTCTGTCTCTCTCTGTCCCAAAAATAAATAAACGTTGAAAAAAAAATTAAAAAAAAATTTTTTTTGATGTTTATTTTTGAGAGAGAGAGGCAGAGGTAGGGACAGAATCCGAAGCAGGCTCCTGGCTCTGAGCTGTCAGCACAGATCCCGACACGGGGCTCCAACTCATGAACCTTGAGATCATGACCTGAGCCGAAGTCGGATGCTTAACTGACTGAGCCACCCAGGCGCCCCTAGACTACGTAGATATTTTCATTAATTAACCTGAGGCGTTCTTCCTAAGCGGGCACTATCTAATTACCTGCTTGGTTCCTTCTGTTTGAAACAGTGCCAAACGATTGCTTCCTCCTTACAAGGTCGCCTTTTCTGACTGGTGTTCATTAATTCATCGAGCAAATTACGGAACAGGCCCTACATGATGAGTCTTTGCTAAAGGACTGTGATGGAACAGTGAAGATGTGAAGCCTCGTGAATTATTGGAGCTCCTTTGTGTCAGTCAGTGGTTTGGTGAGTTTGAGATACTGGCCTCATTTGGACATACGTCAGAAGGTTAAAAAATCTCCACAGACCTACCAATTTTGTACCAATTGGTCTCTTAATATGATGAGATCGCATCCTCTGTGAGGCTTTTAGGGACACAGTGGGGACATAACTATGACTTGGAAACATTGATACCGTTCCTGCCAGGCAATGCCCGAGAGCGTGTACTAGGTCAGTTTTGTGGTGGCGGGGGACCTGCTAGACTCGGGTGGCGTTCGTTTGATTTGAATCACCTTCATCGTAGTCCACTAACTGAGGAACAGCAGAAGTGTTGAGTGATGAGTGTTAAATGACACTATGAGCATATTATCATAAACAGTAGCTTAACATAGATTACCAGCATTGGGGAAATCTGAGACATTTGGTCCAGTGTTATAAAAATATAAAATAATGCCTAACTCTGATATATATTCATGAAAGGTACTCTTATTTCATCATGAAAATGTTTCTATTAATAAAGGAAAATGTTGATGATGTAATCTGACATAATAATCTTGAAGTTTCAGAAATTAGCAAATTTGTATAATACCTATTTTCTAAAATAAAGATTTTATGCTTGGGAAAAAAAAAACTTCTCTTAAAGGGAAAATAGTGCAGAGATTAATATTTCTTGAGAATTTTTTGGGTTGGGTACTGAGCAGGCAGTGTCTTTGTGTCTGTTATTTACTTTAACAGAGAAACTTGGATTATTTTGTCAGTTTCTCAACAGGTCTGAAGTCCCGTGGTATCCTGCAACATACAGAAAATTTTGTCCCTAGCAACAGGGTTCTTCCAGAGCATGCAGATATTCTGATTCATAATACTTTTTAGGTCATAAGCTTTGAACCTACTTGATTGTTCTGATTGCTCCCTTGCCACATTGAAACTTTTTATTTCCTCTTCTTTCATCTTAAAAACTTTTTTTTTTTTTTTAACTGCACCAGAAATATGTGGGTTTGCCATTTCAGGGATCAGTGACATTCAGGGATGTGGCCGTAGCCTTCTCTCAGCAGAAGTGGGAGAGTCTGAATTCTGCTCAGAGGGACTTATACAGAGATGTGATGTTGGAGAACTGTAGTAACTTGGTCTCACTGGGTAAGTTTTCCTCTTTCAAGTAAATTAAGAGTCTTCTCCCTCAAACACTTTCTCCCTTGTACCTTTTAGGGCTATCTTAAGAAGTGAATGTACTTTCTTCTCTCTGTTCCCAAAGAAATGGTTTGAGCCTTGTTGGGCTGGAAAGGATGAAATGGCAGGATTAGAACCGGGGGTGTTTATTGCATAAACATTGACAAAGGCCAAATTTCCTATTATGTTTATGCTCAAAATTGCTATAAGTGCTCCGTTAATATCTGAGCCACCTGCCAGCAGAACAGCTGGACAGAGGGTCCTGGTTTGTCCGATCTGCAGAGCCTGTGCAACCGACACAGTGGTCGGTTGGATAAACAAATGAATTTAAAACTGAAGTTACTGGACGCCTGGGTGGCTCAGTCAGCTGAGCATCTGACTTCCGCTCAGGTCGTTGTAATAGGTCAATTTATAAGCTATCAGAAAGCTTATTGTATATAAGTTCGGCTTAAACTCACCTTTCATGAATAATTGAGATAAAAGCTTATGTAGTTCCCTATTAGGGTTATCGGAAATTACTAACTGCCCTATCTCGCTTCTGTAACTTCGCCTGCTTGCTAAATAGATAACTTAGGTTGCAAAACGCTACCCCCACCCCTTCTACCAAGATCTAGCCTAGTCGAGACCAACATGTAAAAAGTCACGAACTCCCTGCTCCACGGTATCTTAGGTGTCTAACTATCATTGGTCATTTTAAAATCCATTAGGACAAAGAACTTTAAATTGATAGGTTCCCGCCAAGACTAACGTCTGTGTGTTAGTCTGATGAAATGCTGTAAATTGTAATTGGTTAACTAAATAATGACGTACTCTGACTTGCTAAAATCCATATAAACTCGCTGCTACCTTTGTTCGGGGGCCATTCTCTGCACTTTTCTCCTTAAGATCAGGAGATGAGATTTGGCCCGGCTGTGAATAAAATCTTGTGTTGCTTCTATTCAGCGTCTGGTGGTGGTGGTGTTTTTTGGTTTTTGGTTGTTTTTTTTTTTTTTTGTCTCTCGACAGCACCCTGTTTCATTTGGAGGTTCCACCGAGATTCTATGACCACCCAAGATTTGGAGGCTGAAGCGGAACAGCTAGGGGAGAGCTCTGAGAGACGTTCCTCGGCCCCGGCCTTCCGTTCTCAGACCTGGCTTAAAAGTAAGGTATGCGGGGTGGCGCCTGTTTTCTGTTACTGGCCAGATCTGATTCTAGGAGGGAAGGCTGGACGCGGCTTAACTTCCCCCTAGCTGGTGTCTGGTGGAGACGCCCCCAGCACCGTCTGGGTCTCCGGACCATCCGGGTCTTCGGACCGTCTGGGTTGGGCTTGATCACCCCAACCATTTGTTCTACGTTCAGTGCTCTGTGTGCCCTGTTAAACGTTTCCTGTTAGCCTATCATTATCTCTGGTGTGACCCACTCTTTAACCTCCGTCATGGGTCAGTCTTTGTCCGAGCCTTGCTCCCCCTTAAATGCATGCTAAATAACTTCTCTGGTTTCAGAAAAAGAGGAAGGAACTATGGCTGTAACCTAAAGCCATCCTGGCTGCGGACATATTGCCAACTGGACTGGCTGACATTCTCTGGGGTTGACTGGCCCCCAGAGGGCTCCTAGAATCTTAACCTTGCTTATGCTGTCCGTAGGATTTGTCATGATGTTCATCCCCACCAGGAGCCATATGCTGTGACTTGGGTCGACCTCCTAGAAGACCCACTGTTCTGGCTGAGAGAGTGCCAGAAACAGGGCCAAAAGCTGTCATCTGGCATCTCCCTTTCCCACTCCCCTTCCTGTTCTCCAAACTCCAAACCCTTGCTTCCCATCACTCAGCCTTCAAAGAGGCTTTACCCGGTGCTTCAGGAGATACCCAAGGGAGGGACTTGTTATCTGATCCTTAGAGACCACCTCCTTATCCCCAGACTCCACTAGCTCCCCAGGAACCAAAAGCCGCAGGTGACCCTTTGACTAGCCCCCCACACACCAGATCAGGAGCCCTCGGTAGAGGATCAGGAGCCCTCTGTAGAGGAGAACACCAGTCTTCTGATGCCCCAGTTCCCATCCTTCCTCTTAGGCAAATGGCTCCGGCTCCCGGTCCAGACGGGCAGCCAACACACCCGAAGCTTGTCTACACTCCTTTCTCCACCACGGACCTCTGTAACTGGAAAACTCAGAACCCGCCTTTCTCTGAAAACCCCCAGGGCCTAATTGACTTATTGAGCTCCATTTTCACCACTCACTTACCTACTTGGGAAGACTGTCACCAACTCTTGCAGGTCTTACCGACTTCCGAGGAAAGGGCCCGAGTGCCCCGGGAAGCCACGAGAGCGGTCCTCGGCCCGGATGGAGTGCCTCCCACAGACCTTCGCAGAATTGAGCACGTTTTCCCTTCCGCACCGCCCCAGTGGGACCCTAACACGGATAACGGTAGGGAGCGTCTACTTCAGTATCTCCAGATTGTAACAGGGGCTTTGCGCAGCGGCCCAAAAGCCCACCCATCTGACAAAAACTCATGACCCGGTCCAAGGACCGAATGAGTCGCCTGCAGCCTTCCTTGAAAGGCTTTACCAGGCTTCCCGCTTATATTCTCCTATTGACCCCGAGGCAACAGAGAACCGAAAAACCATTAACATGGCTTTCGTTTCTCAGTTGGCCCCAGACATCCATAAAAACCTCCAAAAATTAGAAGGATTCGAAGGGAAGGTAATTTCAGAGTTGGTAGAAATAGCCCAGTGAGTTTTTCAGAGCAGGGACAGCCCTGCCATGATGCAGGGGAAGGAAATAGGGGAAGTCCTCGTACCAGCCTGGGGAAGACCCCAGGCAACAGCAAAGGACAGGGAAGGCCTCAACCCCGTCAGAAAGGACCCCGAGCAACATTGGGAAAAAATCAATGTGCTTATTGTAAGGAAGAAGGACATTGGAAAGATAAATGCCCCAACAAAAAGCCTCCCATCCTGGTCGCCCAAGAACAATGATGCCACCACAGCTCCCCTCTTTCCCTGAATCCCCAGGAGCCTGTGGTTACCCTCAACGTAGAAGGGAAAGAACCCAGATTCCTGGTTGACACTGGGGCTATGTATTCCGTTCTTAAAGAACCCTTAGGACCTGTGATTAAAGAAAAGGTATACATCCGGGGAGCCACAGGACGAACGCAAGGCTGCCCGCGGACTCGTGCCTGAATCACTGACCTAGCTCATTCCTTTGTGCTCATACCTGATTGCCCATATTCCCTTCTGGGGAGAGATCTGTTGCACATGCTTAAGGCCCAAATCTCCTTTACCGGAAATTCTATAGACTTGAACCTACCGCCACCTGCCATTCTAGTTACCTGTCCTATATCAGAGGAGTATCTACTCTTAGAAAAACCAGAGTGGAAAGCCTCTCCATTAACAGAAAAGTGGAAAGAGACAATTCCTACAGTTTGGGCTGAAACTAACCCCCCTGGACTAGCCATTCAACAAGCGCCGCTAGCGATCCAGCTAGCTGCCACAGCCACCCCCATCCGGGTGAGGCAATATCCATCCCATCAGCCAGCAAGCGAGGGAGGGAATCGCCAAACACATCAACCGCTTGCGAGAAGCTGGGATCCTAATGCCATGCCATTCCCCCTGGAATACTCCCTTGCTTCCTGTCCCAAAACCTGGGACTTCAGAATATAGGCCGGTACAAGACCTCAGAGAAGTTAACAAAAGGGTGGAGACAATTCATCCTACAGGCCCCAACCCCTACACTCTCCTGAGTGAACTCTCCGAATTACCGCCTTTACTCTGTCCTGGACTTAAAGGATGCATTCTTTGCTTTGCCGATTGCAAAGGTCAGTCAGCCTATTTTTGCCTTTGAATGGACAGACCCAGATGGAACCTACAACGGACAGTTAACCTGGACTCGACTGCCCCCAAGGGTTTAAAAACTCCCCTAGTCTTTTTGATGAGGCTCTTCGAAGGGATTTGGTCCCCTACTGGGAGAGCCACCCAGATGTTACGCTGTTACAATATGTAGATGACTTGCTCCTAGCCGCTGACTCCTGAGAGAACTGCACAAAGGCTACGGAGGACCTGCTAAGGGAATTAGATGTCCTGGGATATAAAGTTTCTGCAAAAAAGGGCACAAATTTGCTTGGACTCTGTAATATACTTGGGCTACCAACTGCATGAAGGCAAGCGATCGCTGGGGCCGGAAAGAATCCAAGCTATCCTCAACATTCCTAAATCCACAACTAAAAGGCAGATCAGGGAGGGGCGCCTGGGTGGCGCAGTCGGTTAAGCGTCCGACTTCAGCCAGGTCACGATCTTGCAGTCCGTGAGTTCGAGCCCCGCGTCGGGCTCTGGGCTGATGGCTCAGAGCCTGGAGCCTGTTTCTGATTCTGTGTCTCCCTTTCTCTCTGCCCCTCGCCCGTTCATGCTCTGTCTCTCTCTGTCCCAAAAATAAATAAACGTTGAAAAGGCAGATCAGGGAGTTCCTAGGGGCCGCTGGGTATTGCCGCCTCTGGATACCGGGTTTCGCCGAAATGGCAAAACCCCTGTACTCCGCTACTGGGGGTGAAGGAACTGAGATGGTCTGGGGAGAATAAGAAGATAGGGCTTTTGAGCAAATCAAGAGCACCCTTACCCAAGCCCCAGCCCTAGCTTTACCTGATATTACCAAACTCTTCCAACTATTTGTACATGAGATCCGGGGCATTGCGAAAAGGGTCCTTACTCAAACTTTGGGCCCCTGGAAACGACCCGTAGCCTACTTGTCCAAGCGGCTGGACTCTGTTGCCACTGGGTGGCCCAGTTGCCTCAGAGCTGTTGCCGCCACTGGTTAAAGAAGCTTCCAAACTAACGCTTGGGCAAGACCTTCAGATCACAGGACCTCACGCAGTAGCGTCCCTGCTGCGCTCCCCACCAGACCGATGGATCAACGCACGAATCCTCCAGGATCAGGTATTGCTACTGGACCCTCCACGCATCGCTTTCCTGAAGACAGAGGCTTTAAATCCAGCCACGTTGCTGCTTGATAGCGACTCTGAGGCCCCACGCCACGATTGCTTAGAAACTGGGAGTACTCTGACGAGACTGAGGAGGGACTTAAGAGATCAACCTCTGCCAAAGGTGGATTTCGAGCTGTTCGCTGGCAGCAGTTTTGTCAAAGATGGAATCAGATACGCAGGTGCAGCTGTAGTGACTCAGGACCAGGTTATCTGGGCCTGAGCCCTTGAGCACGACGCTTCTGCCCAAAGAGCAGAGCTGATGGCTCTAGCCCAGGCCCTCAGATGGGCAAAGGGAAAAACGGTGAACGTCTTCACGGATAGCAGGTAGGCCTTCGCCACCGCCCATGTTCATGGAGCCCTATATAAGGAAAGAGGACCGTTAACATCAGGAGGGAAGGAAATTAAAAATAAAAAAGAAATCCTGGCCCTACTGGGAGCCTTATGGCTTCCTAAAAAGGTGGCCATTGTACACTGCAAGAGCCACCAAAAGGCAGACTCGCCCCGAGCGAAAGGAAGCACCTTTGCTGACGCAACGGCAAAGGCCACAGCAGAAAGAGAGGTTCTCTCGACTAAAATTTTGCCTCTGCTGCCTCCACGCTTTCTCCCCTCGGAACCGTCTTAGACCAAAGAAGAGCTACGCCTGATAGAAACCTTGAGGGCAAAAAGAGATGACCAGCATTGGTATCACCTCGAGGACGGACGCATCTTCATACCAGAAGCTATAGGACGGACCTGGCTCCTGCAAGTCCACAGCATCTAGGGGCAACCAAGTTGTCTGAACTAGCCCAAAGAGACTATTTTATTCCAAACCTTAATAAAATCGTAAAAAGCCTAGGAGACGGATGCAAAGCCTGTGCTCAGACTAACCCATCTCCCAAGTTAAATTTTTCAGGACAGAGACTACGTGGACAGATGCCTGGAGAAGTATGGGAACTTGACTTCACTGAGATGAAACATGGACCCTATGGCTATCATTATCTCCTCGTACTAGTGGACACCTTCTCTGGATGGGTAGAGGCTTTCCCCACTAGAACAGAGTCCGCTCAGATAGTGGCTAAGAAATTACTCAATGAATTGGTTCCCCGATTTGGCATCCCTATTGATCTGGGGTCAGATAATGGCCCGGCTTTCATAGCCCAGATATCTAAAATGTTGGCCAAAAGCTTACAAATAAATTGGAAATTACATTGTGCCCACCACCCCCAGAGTTCAGGGCAGGTAGAAAGAATGAATAGAACTCTAAAAGAAACCTTGACTAAATTAATTCCAGAAACTGGCGAAAACTGGGTAGGCCTCCTTCCTTTTGCCCTCCTCAGAGTACGTTGTATACCTTACGTAAGAGGCATTCCCCCCTTTGAAATCCTATTTGGAAGACCACCTCCCTTGCTTCCAAGATTGGGAGATGAACAACGGGCGGAAATCTCAAACCAACATCTCCTTAAGTCCTTGCAGGCTCTACAAAGTACACTTCCAGCCATCCATAACCTAGTAAAAGAAAGCTGGAAAGAACCGCCCTCTACAGTGGAACCATCAGACCAAGGACTCGGACCTGGAGATTGGATCTGGGTGCAACGTCACACCTCCCCAAATTTAGAGGCACGCTGGGTTGGGCCCTATCCGATCATCCTGTCCACCCCATCCGCTGTGACAGTTGCTGGCCGGAGCCACAGGATGCATCGCTCTCAAATTAAAGCGGCACACCCTGACCACGTTCCTCTACAATGGACTGTCAAACGGACTGAAAATCCTTTGGAGGTCCGGCTGGTAAGAGAATCTGCTGGGTAATTTTGTTCTTAATTTCCCTGGCTGGAGGGACATTTTCTGACCACGCCCCTGTCCAGTACCGTTGGATAGTTAGCAAAACCACTACGGGACAGGTTTTAGCAAATTCTACCTCTTACGCTTCCCCTGCCTTGACCTTTAATCTGTGTCTTCTGTTCCCCATTGAGTGGAAATAACAACCATGATATCAAGGTGCTACCGGAGTTTTGCCTTACCAGAGAACCCCAGACTGCCTAAGTTTCAAAGGAGTACAGTTTTATGCTTGTCCCTCTGATACGCCCCCTGGCTGTCAAGGACGAGGCCAGTTTCACTGTGCCTCATGGGGTTGTGAAACCATAGCTGACTGGGTTACTGAAAAGGATCAGTATACTGTCTATAAGAGCAGTATCTATGACCAAGAGCCAATGCCTAGTCACTGTCATCATTAGAAATGGTTTAGATCCCCGATGGAATAGGGGGAGAACATGGGGATTGAGATTATACGTTTCTGGTCTTGATCCTGGCACTGAGTTTACCATTCAGAGGTTTAGAGTCACCCCTAGAGCACCCATTGGGCCCAATCCTGTAATTAACCCTCTCCCTGACCCTGGAAAACTGCCCCCCCAGGCCTCTAGCCCGGTCATCAGCTAAGTCTACGACCCGTTCACCCACCACTACTGCCCTTATGTTGACTCCTTCCCCCGCTAGGAACAAACCTGAAGTAAGAGAGACAGATACCTTTAAAGCCTTGTACTATACCTTTAAGTTTTTAAATGCCACCAACCCTAACATCACTTGGGATTGTTGGCTATGTTTGAATCCTAGGCCCCCCTACTACATAGGAATAGGTGCTCCGGTCCCTTTGAGAACGAGGGAAGACCAAATCAGGAATTTGAGCCATGGCCAGATAGAGGGTCATTGTACCTGGGGGCAGAACCCAAGTCTCACCTTAGGAGATCTAGAAGGAATGGGGACTTGTTTCTATGCTGGAAATTACCAGATAAAACGGTCCAGGTATTTGGCTTATTGTAACAGTACCATCTACTTGCCAAATAATACTTATGTGGGGGGTACCCTTTACTTCCTTGTACCGCCCTCTGGGACTTGGTTCGCTTGCTCCTTGGATTTAGCCCCTTGTTTAAACCCCCACCTTATAATCAAGAGGTCTGATTTCTGCATTCTGGCCCACCTCCTACCCCAGGTCTTCTACTTTTCAGGTGAAGGAGGAAAAGAACACCTAGGTTTCATTCCCCAGTCTCGATTTCTGAGGGAACCCATTTCTCCTATCCTAGTGCCCCTCTTTGTAGGACTGGGGGTTGCAGGATCCATTGGCGTAAGTACTGCCACTTTTATCACAGGGGATCAGAACTTCAAATTAATAAGCAAACAAATTGATCAGGATATATCAGAATTAGAAAGGAATATTGATAAACTGTCTGAATCTGTAAACTCTTTAGCAGAGGTGGTACTTCAGAATCGGAGGGGCTTAGACCTGTTATTTTTACAAGGAGGGCTTTGTATGGCCCTTGGGGAACAGTGCTGTTTTTATGTCAATAATTCAGGAATCATCAAGTAGACCTTGAGTCAGGTCAGACAACGATTAGAGGAAAGAGAAAGAGAAAGACAAATAAATCAAAACTGGTATGAGTCTATATTTTCCTGGTCCCCTTGGCTAACAACTCTCCTAAGTGCCCTTGCAGGACCCCTTATCTTTCTCTTTCTAGCTGTAACTATAGGACCCTGTTTGATAAAACTACTACTTCAGTTCATAAATCGAAAAATAGGATCTATAAAGCTTATGGTATTATGTAGCCCATACGTCCCACCAGCTCATATGCCAGAATAAGGTTATTCAAAGGTTTGAATAATTAACAAACAGGAGTGGGGAATGTAATAGGTCAACTTATATCAGAAAGCTTATTGTATAGAAGTTCGGCTTAAACTCCCCTTTCATGAATAATTGAGATAAAAGCTTATGTAGTTCCCTATTAGGGTTATTGGAAATTACTAACCGCCCTATCTTGCTTCTGTAACTTCTCCTGCTTGCTAAATAGATAACTTAGGTTGCAAAACGCTCCCCCCACCCCTTCTACCAAGATCTAGCCTAGTCGAGACCAACATGTAAAAAGTCAGAACTCACTGCCCCATGGTATTGGTTGTTTTAAAATCCGTTAGGACAAAGAACTTTAAATTGATAGGTTCCCATCAAGACTAATGTCTGTGTGTCACAGTATGATTGGCTACCATGAAATGCTGTAAATTGTAATTGGTTAACTAAATAATGACGTACTCTGACTTGCTAAAATCCATATAAGCTCACTGCTACCTTTGTTTGGGGGCTGTTCTCTGCACTTTTCTCCTTAAGCTCAGGAGATCAGGTTTGGCCCAGCCGTGAATAAAATCTTGCCTTGCTTCTATTCGGCGTCTGGTGGTTTGTTTTGTTTTTTGTTTTCTCGACAGCACCCTGTTTCAGTCATGATCTCATAGTTTGCAAGTTCAAGCCCCAAATTGGGCTCTCTGCTGTCAGTGTGGAGCCTGCTTGGGGTTCTTTCTTTCCGTCTCTCTCTGCCCCTCCTCCACTCATGCTTTTTTTCTCTCTCTCTCTCTCAAAAATAAGCGTTAAAAAAAAAAGGGGGGGCGCCTGGGCGACTCAGTTGGGTAAGCCTCCAACTCTTGGTTTCTGCTCAGGTCATGATCTCCGGGCTTTGTGGGTTCAAGCCCCGTGCCTGGGCTCTGTGCTGGCAGCATGGAGTCTACTTGTAATTCTCCCTCTCTCCCTCTTTCCCCCTCCCCTACTCACACCGTGTGTGTCTGTCTCTCTCAAAAACAAAAACTGAAGTTACTGCATTTTCTTTCTTACAAAACAGTTACCCGGGGGCACCTGGGTGATTCAGTCATTATCTGACTTTGGCTCAGGTCACCATCTCACAGTTTCTGAGTTTGAGTCCCACATCGGGTGAGCTCAAGCCCTGCTATCTCTCTCTCTATCTTCCTCTTTCCCCCGCCCTCTCTCCTTCTGCCCCTTCTGGGACTCTCTCTGACCTTGCTCACTTGAGCCTTCTCTCCTCTCTCTCAAAAACAAAAACAAAATAATTACCCTGATTTTATAGTTAAAATTTATAATTCATGAACGTTGCATTTAAGATTGAATGAATATAGGGGCGCCTGGGTGGCGCAGTCGGTTAAGCGTCCGACTTCAGCCAGGTCACGATCTCACAGTCCGTGAGTTCGAGCCCCGCGTCGGGCTCTGGGCTGATGGCTCGGAGCCTGGAGCCTGTTTCCGATTCTGTGTCTCCCTCTCTCTCTGCCCCTCCCCCGTTCATGCTCTGTCTCTCTCTGTCCCCAAAATAAATAAACGTTGGAAAAAAAAAATTAAAAAAAAAAAAGATTGAATGAATATCTTAGAGATGTCTCAAGAATCTTTGTTTTTTCTCTTAGAAAAATAACAGTGATAATGTTAATAACTCACAAGAAGACAATACACAGGTGAGTGTATTGTTTACTATGTACCAATCACTATTCTACACCCTACATTTTTGTGTTTGATTTGTATTAACTGATCTCTATCCTCACAACCATCCTGTGTCATGGGTACTATTTTTGTAACCATTTCAGATAAGCATGTTGGAGCACAGTGAGCTTAAGTGAGTTTCCCAAAGTCGCACAGCTGGTCGGAGGCAGAAGCAGGAATTTGAATGCAAGCGCTCTGATTCCATGGTCTGTGTTCTCAATTACAAGGTCATGCTTTCTGTCAAGCTGCGAGAGAGAGAGAGAGAGAGAGAGAGAGAGAGAGAGAGAGAAGTAGATTTCACTTAAAAGCTTTTCCCCATCTGTCTGGATTCTTGAATCCCCTTGCCCTTCCCAGAAATACTTATCAATATCATTTTGACCTCTAGTTTATTCCAAGTTCTAAGCTCAAAGTATTTGTTAATTCATATTTTATTTCATTTCTACCTTGTATGACATTCTTACCTTGTAAGCTGGACATTCCCTTTCTAAACCACATGTGATTACTTTATCGGAGTGATGGAAAGAGCCCTGGATGATAGGGAAGATCAAAGAAGACCATGCACAGGTGAGTAAGATCCCATCGGGTAGAGAAGCCCTCATTGGGTCAGGGAGGAGGCACTTTTCTGAGCTGTTGCCTGGAACTGTCCCTTCAAAGGGAGCCCAAGCAAGGCCTGCATAGAAAAGCCTGAAACTTGGGAGAAAGAGGAATAGCTCACCAAAATGTCCAAAGAAACTTTGTCTTTGCAAATTTTAACACTCATTCACCTCTTATTTCCCTGTCATTTTATTGGGCCTCTTCTCTTTCATAGTGCAGTATTTCCACTGCATCTTGAATTTGACTGCTTTCAGCTCCTCTCCTGCATTTAGATTTATTTGTATATTCAGAGGTGGTGATAACGGAGCAGAGACAAGAACGAGAAGGGCGTAGGCTATATGATTATATAGAACATTCCAGGCAGCGTGAACCGCAAATGTACATGCTTTGAGGTGGGAATGAGCTTTGGGTGATTCGGGAGCAATAAACAGACCAGAACAGAATTAATGAGGGGGGTAAGCAACAAGAAAAAAGGGAGAATGTCGGAAGAGGCCAAGTCTTGTATATATTTTTGTTAATTATCAGGAATTTGGATTCTTTCTGAAAGTGACTAGAAGGCATGATCTAATTTATATTTTTCCAATTTTAAATTAAAAAAACACTTTTGTTAAATGAGATAAAAACTAGAAAACCATATTAAAATACACAGTTTAATGAATTACTGTAAGGAAGATATCCTTATAAAAATTTTTTTAATGTTTATTTTTAAGAGAGAGAGGGAGAGAGAGAGAGCGTGAGCAGGGGAGGGGCAGAGAAAGGGAGACACAGAATCTGAAGCAGCTCCAGGCTCCGAGCTGTCAGCACAGAGCCCGACGTGGGGCCCGAACTCGCGAACCATGAGATCATGACCTGAGCCGAAGTTGGACACTTAACCGACTGAGCCACTCAGGTACTCCAGGCAGATATCCTTATAAACACCTTGAGCAGAAAGAAGCAAAACATTTTAAAATAATACCTTCAGGCTTACAGAGAAGTTGCAAAACTATACAAAGAATTTTCACGTACTCTTCACCCAGACTCTCCAAATGAGGAGATAAACCTTTTCCAACTACCCCTTAAGCCCTTTAGCTGCCTCTGCCTAATCACAACCCTCTTTCCTCCCTCCCTGATAAATCAGCTTCCAACCACGTCAAACCTTACCAAGCACCCCAGATTGCTTGTACCTCTCCACTTAGCCATTTTCATCCGAAAGATTAGCAGACTATTTTGAGGTTCTCGGGTCTGCAGAAACCGTCCATCACTCCCTTCTGCTTTTTCCTGCACAGATGCAGAGAGGGTTGGCTGAATGGGGTCAAGGGTCAGGAGAGGAAAAGCCGCTGGGAGGCCACTTTGGTAGTGCAGACTGGGGGTGCTAGCGGTTTGGATTCGAGTGTTGGTGGTGGAAAGTGGCAAGAAGCTACTTTGAGCATAGAACTTACAGCCTGCTGGTGGGTTATAAATGAGTGTGGAGGAAGAGGGACGTTAAGAAGGATGAGCACGTTTTGGCTTGAGCAGGCGAATGGTGACACAGTTGCCTCAGATGGGAAAGAGGGAAAAGGCAGGATGGAGAGCCAATTGAAATATGTGTGCTTTGAATATTTTAAGTCTGAGATGGTCATAAATCATCCGATTAGAAGGCTAAGTAGGCTGTTGAATATGAAGCCTGAAGTTGAGAAGATGGGCTCACAATAGCAGTTGAGTTTTATTGGCTTATGGCTGGTATTTATTTACTTATTTATAAAAAAAAAATTGTAATGTTTATTTATTTTTGAGAGAGAGATAGAGCCGGGGAGAGAGGGAGACACAGAATCCGAAGCAGGCTCCAGGCTCTGAGCCGTCAGCACAGAGCACGATGCGGGGCTCGGACCCATGAACCGTGAGATCATGACCTTAGCCAAGTCCAGCGTTTAACCGACTGAGCCACGCGGCACTCCTGTGGCTGGTATTTAAAGCCATGGCGCTGCATGAGGTCTCCCAGAGAGCCAGGGCAGGTAGAGGAGTGTCACAGTTACGTCCGTCAGAGGACGCCACAAGAGAGACTACTGAGAAGCAGGTTTTGAGGTAGAAAACGGGAAAGTGGTACCAGCAAAGGCAAATGAAGAAAACGTTTCAAGATGGAGGAATGATTACTGAAACATGAATTAAGACATGAGCGTTGAGTTTGAGGTGTGGCCTTCCCAGAAGGGGAAATTCTCAGCGGGATCAAGGAGTGAAAGCCTGACAGGCCCGGTGTAAGCACAACGGGGTGAGGCAGCGATGAAAGTGAGGGCAAGGGCTCTGCAGTGGCATTTGCGCACGAAGAGATGGGTTGGTTGGGACATGGGGTTACACCTGCATGGTTAGTGATGGGAATGGTTCCATTTGAGTGGTCAAAATGGGTGAATCGGGAGGAGGAAATTATTATAGCAGCAATGGCCTTGACCTGGAGGGGTAAGATGGTGGGATTTTGTGCACAAGAAAAAATGGTGACAGTGGATTTGGATGTAGATAGTTGATATAGTAGAGGAATGAGTAAGTATCCTTTATTTTGTGTTTTCTCGTAGACCTAAGAAGAAAAGTCATTAACTGAAAATTTGTCAGTGGAGGTATGAAATCTTGTTCAGTTTGCTCATGCCATGCAGACTACCCCCCCCCCCCGCCCTTTTTAAAAAAAAATTTTTTTAACGTTTATTCATTTTTGAGAGTGAGAGAGACAGACCATGAGCGGGAGAGGGGCAGAGAGAGAGGGAGACCCAGAATCCGAAGCAGGTTCCAGTCTCTGAGCTGTCAGCCCAGAGCCCCGTTGCGGGGCTTGAACTCAAGAACCGTGAGATCATGACCTGAGCTGAAGTCGGAAGCCCAACCGACTGAGCCGCCCAGGAGCCCCTCCCCTTTTTGATCATTGTCTCTTATGCAGCCAGTGGTGGTGGTGCTGGTGGCGGTGGTAACAGCAGAAGTGACTGCAGTAAAGTAACACGAAATCTGTACTCTATGCCTGACACCGTTCTAGGTATTTTACATGTATTGCCTTTTGATTCTTACAGCAACACTGTGACATGGTTTTCAAATTGCTAGCAGTATTTTTTTAATGTTTATTTTTGAGAGTGTGCGCATGCGGGGGAGGAGCGGGGGGGGGGGGGGGGGGGGTGGACAGAGGATCTGAAGCCAGCTCTGCCATGACAGGCTGTCGGTGCAGAGCCCGCTTTGCTTGGGATTCTCCCTCTCCCTCTCTCTGCCCCTCCCTTGCTCTCAAACACTCTCACTCTCTCTCTCTCTCAAATAAACTTAAATAAGAAAATATCATTATTTGTAGGAAGATACTTCGTTACTGGTATTTCTTGTGTAAATATTTATTAGTTTTCTAAACCAGTACTTTTGGTTAACTGGAAACATAGCTCCAGTGAAAAGAGGAAGAGGAATTATTTGAGTCTTCAATAGTAAATACTTTTTCTAAGTAGGAGATTATTCAACAACAGAGATTAAAAATTATTTTTCTGTTCTCTTGCAAGAATTATGATGGACTCATCTTTTATCCATCATCACTGATTCAGAATGTATAATTCAAGATAATCAGTCATGTATCCCTTTTGTCATTGCATTTGTCATCCAGAGCTCCGTATTAAGTCTCTTCTGTTTCTTGGAGAAACCTAGGAGTCTTGGAAATGTACCTGACTTTTTGGCAAAGATACCTTACACCTTCCCTGCCTCATTCCAGAAATTGTTTATTTCGTAAAGGATTCTCTTTTATATTAATGGATTATCAGTGAATTATGTGTATGACATTGTCTTTTAACTATATCCTAATTCTTTTTTTTTTTGTCTGGAGATTTGTCTTTTTTTTTTTTTTTTTTTTTTTTTTGCTATCAATTTCTGCTGTGTGCTCAGGGGTTATAGTTCAGTGCTGAATGACACAGGGGTTGGGCCTGCTTTGGGGGAAAGTGTTCGTTTTCTATTGCTTTGTAACAAATTACCACACATTTGGCAGCTTAAGACTACAGTCATTTATTATCCCATAGTTCCGTAGACCAGTTCACAGGATGACTAAATCTGAGTAGCTGCGACTACAGTTCTTTAGGGCATAGGGCCTTCTAGGCTCACTGATTATTGGCAGAATTTATTTCCTTCTCACACTTTCCATGTGGTCCCCTCCATCTTCCGGCCAGCAGCCAGCAAGTCTTGTCCTTCTCACACTTTGAATGTCCCTGGCTCCCTTTCTGCCCTCAGCCAGGAGAAAGCTCTGCTCTTTAGGGAATTATCCAGGTAAGCCAGGTTGATGTCTCCATCTCAAATCAACTGATTAGTAACCTTAATTATATATCATTTGTCATGTGATGCAACATATTCACAGGCATGATAATGGCAAAGGCCATGAAGACCAAAATACTATCAACCACAGGTAGGTGTGGGGGAAATAAATTAAAACTTTTAGCAAAGAGAAATAATTGTGTAATTGAAAACAGGTTGGAATTACAAGAATTAAGTGTTATAACAGAAGCTAAAGACATGGGCATCCTTAGACAAGGTCAGCAATTTACAGTATTCCTGATAAAGTGATATTTCACCTTAAACATATATAGGATGAGAAAGATCCAGTCTGCAAACAACACATGCCAGAGAATTTGGGGGAGATTACCATCACCTGCAGATGGAACCAAACGATGAGAAAACTTGTGACACATTCCAACTGCTGAAAGGGGAAAGTGAGGTAAAGAGGGAACAAAGAAAATTCTGACTTGATATGAGGGCTGATAGGTAAGCAGGAATCATATTAATGAAAGATACATGGATTTTATTCAAAGTGTAAAGAGAAGTCACAGTGGGGGTAAATGAAATTTTATCTGTATCAGAAACATTTGTTAGAAATGTTAAACGTATTCGTGCCCAGAACTTGCCCTGTGTCTTCTGATTCAGGAGGTCTGGGATGGTGTGTGGGTACAGTTTTTCAACATGCTCCTCAAAGATCCTGATCCACACTTGAATATCAGAAATGAAACCTATTTTATCCCCAACCTTACTATTTTAAATAAACTCTCACTAATCTCTGCATTTCTCTTTGACCTTGAAAACATTTTTATAACAGTATTTTAGTATAATCTAGGCTTTTGATATCTAATGGATTTTTTTAGTCTCTTTTCTTCCAGAGAAATCTATTCCTGTATTTTTTCATATAGGAAAACAGATATTTGTTTTTTGTTTTCTTTCAGATTTCAGTCGAAGGATGAGACAGCAATAAAGAAATGCCCACCATTGAGAAATATACATCTTTTGCTTTACATCCGAGAATTCTTAATAGAGAGCAATCATATGAATATCAGGAATGTGGGAAGACTTTTTGTCAGTACTCAAACCCTGTTCAACGTGAGAGAACACATTCTAGTGAAAAACCCTACAAATACAAAGAATGTGGGAAGAACTTTAGTAATGGACATCGGCTCACTGTACATCAGAGATTTCATACTGGTGAGAAACCTTGTAAATGTAAGGAATGTGGGAAGTCCTTTAGTACCTTTTCGTACCTTGTTCGACATCAGAGAACTCACACTGTTAAGAAAGTCTATGAATGTAAAGAATGTGGGAAGGCTTTTATTAGAGGCTCAGGCTTTGTTAAACATGGGAGAATTCATACTGGCGAGAAACCATATGAATGCAAGGAATGTGGGAAGACCTCTGGTAGTAGCCATAATTTACTGTACATCAGAGTAGTCATACTGCTAAGAAAGCTTATGAATGTGGGGAATGTGGAAAAGCTTTTTATAGTAGCTCATACCTTGTTCAACATCAAAGAATCCATAGCGGTGAGAAACCCTATGAATGTAGGAAATGTAGGAAAGCTTTTATAGTGTATGGAAAACTTCTTCAGCATCAGTATTCATACTGGTAAAAACCTTTGGTGTGTAAAGAATGTAGGAAGGCCTTTAGTACCTTCTCATACCTTGTTCAACATCAGCGAATTCATACTGGTGAGAAACCCTATGAATGTAAAGAATGTGGAAAGGCCTTTAGACTTAGTTCATTTCTTAATGCGCCTCAGAGAATTCATGCAGGGGTAAAGCCCTATGAATGCAAGGAATGTGGGAAGGCCTTTAGTCGTGCCTCATACCTTGTTCAACATGAAAGACTTTATACAGGTGAGAAACCCTATGAGTGTAAGGAGTGCAGCAAGGCTTTTAGTGCTGGCTCATACCTTGTTCAACATCAGAGGATTCATACTGGTGAGAAACCCTATGAATGTAAGGAATGTGGAAAGACCTTTCGAGTACATGTACATGTTACACAGCATCAGAAAATTCATGTTGATGTG